TTCTTTCCTTCTTCCTTCCTTCCTTCCTTCCTTCCTTCCTTCCTTCCCTTTCTTTCCTTCCTTCCTTCCTTCCTTCCTTCCTTCCTTCCTTCCTTCCTTCCTTCCTTCTTTCCTTCCTTCTTTCTTTCGAGATGGAGTCTTGCTCTGTCAGGGGAGTGCAAAGGCACGATCTCAGCTCACTGCAACCTCCGCCTCCCAGGTTCAAGTGATTCTCCTGCCTCAGCCTCCCCAGTAACTGGGATTACAGGCACCCGCCACCATGCCTGGCTAATTTTGTATTTTTAGTAAAGACAGGGATTCTCCATGTTGGTCAGGCTGGTCTTGAACTCCTGACCTCAGGTGATCCGCTCACCTCAGCCTCCCAAAGTGGCTGGGATTACAAGCATGAGCCACTGCGCCCAGTTTCAGCCTACTGTTTCTATTACTCATGGCTAAAAAAAAAAAAAACTTCCCAGGTATGGAGGAGCAAAGAGAGTGCTGGTGACGTTGGTCATCCAAGGGGCCAGGATCTAGACTCTTTGACAGGGGTGCCTCCCTTTAGGTGTTGAGAAATTGAGATGTGTGCATGTGTGGAGCCCATGGAGACCAGGCTGCACCTGTAGGTGGGGCTTGTTGTCATGGCTGAGGGGGTTCAGGTGTCCAGCTTGGAATAACTCCCGCAGCAGCGGGACAGACTGGCTCAGCCCCAACAGGTCCTGGAACTGATGCAGAACCCCCTCACGGCTGGCTTCCTTCCGTGGCTTGGCTCTCTAAGCTTACCTTTCTAGCTTGGAAGATGGGCCGTGAGTGTTGCAGCACCCTTCATTGTCTGGGAGTGAGGTGACTTGGCTTTTAGTTCCATCTCTACAGCCCAATTGCTGTATGACCTTAGGCAAGTCAACTCTCCTCTTTGGTTTTCAGTTTCTTTATTTAAAACCATAATTTGAACAGCTTACACTCTGGCTAAAAAACTTGGTTGTCTACAATACAGAAGTCTGAACTTGGAGTTCAAGCCCCATTATATTTTCTGGAGAATCCTTTCAACCTCTCCTCCCAGGAAAGCCCTTGCTTTTAGGCACATTCTGTTCCACTCTTTTAGGCACATTCTGTTCCTTCTGCCTGGGATACCTTTTACCCTATTCATCTTTCATGATGCAACTTAGATCCCGTGTACCAGACACTGTTCTAAGCTCTAGATGAATATTATCTCAGGGGTTCTCAAACTTTGGCGGTGTGTTAGAATCACCTGGAGGGCTTGTTAAGCCACATTTTGCTGGGACCCACCCTTCAGGGCTTTGGATTCAGTAGGTCCCGTGTAGGGCTAAAGAACTGGCATTTCTAACAAGTCCCAGGTATGGCTACTGCTTGCTGGTCTGGGAACCACACTTTAAGGGCCACTGTATTATTTCATTTAATCTCCTAAGTGAGATGGGTAGCTGTTACTCTCTATGACATGGGTACTATTACTCTTGCCTTTTTTTTTTTGAGATGGAGTCTCGCTCTGTTGCCCAGGCTGGAGCACAGTAGCGCCATCTGGGCTCACTGCAACCCCCGCCTCCTGGGTTCAAGCAGTTCTCCTGCCTCAGCTTCCCGAGCAGCTGGGACTACAGCCGCCACGCCCAGCTAATTTTTTGTATTTTTAGTGGAGAGGGGGTTTCACCATGTTGGCCAGGATGGTTTCGAATTCCTGATCCGCCTGCCTCAGCCTCCCAAAGTGCTGGAATTACAGGCATGAGCCACCGCACCTGGCCTATTCTTCTCATTTTAGAGTGGGCCTGCATACATGCTGGTCACTTGGCCTTGCAAGGGCTTGCCCTCATTTCACAGACAACAGCCTGAGGCTCAGAGAGGTTAAGTGACTTGTCTGATGTCTCACAGCAGTTAGGGGGAGATGCTGGGATTGAATTAGGTTTCTCTTAAGTCAAGGTTTTTTCCATTCTCTTAGGTGGGGAGGATGTCTGGCTTCTGACCCTAGACATTGTCTCAGAAAATTCTGCCCCCAGCTTCAGAGCTTAGCAGGTTCCGGAGGGTTTGGCTGACCAGTTCCCACGTAGCTGGCGGAGGTCCCAAGCAGCCTGGGACCACATGGCCTCATACTCCCACTTAGGTCTGCTGCCCACAGCACTGCCGTCATCTGCAGCTCAATAAAGGCTGGGCTGGAAGCAGCGAAGCTCAGCATCTCAGCTCCCTCCTCTTGCGTTCTCTCCAGCAGCCTCTCCAGGAGCTCCGTGGCCATGACACAGCTGCTTCTGCTCCTTGTGGCTCTGCTGGTCCTGGGTCGTGCACCACCAGGTACCCACTTAGTGTGCGTGTGTGTGCATGTGCACGTGTGTGTGTGTGTGTGAAAGAGGACCAGGCTCTCAGGTCCTGGAGGACAGAGGGGCCTGGGCCTGCATTTAAGCTCTGGCCTCACCACTGACCTGCTGGGCAACTTAGAGCAAGTTGCTAAATCAGCCTGCACCTCAGTTTTCTAATCTACAAAATGGGATTCTCTCAATAAATATGCATTCATGTTATGATTCTTGTGAAATCATAGCAGTGACAGACAACTGGCAGTGAAAGAAAACAAGGTCCTTGCTTTCATGCAGCTGACATTTTAGTTGGTTGGGGAAGAAAATAAACAGATCAACATATGTCAGGTGGTGATTAGTGCTAAGAAGAGGAAAGACGAGGGCAGGGGTTACAGTGGTGAGTGTTTGGATGGGGCGGTGATGGGAAGGCTGACAGGGAAGGGCTCTGATAAAATTTTTTCCTTTTTTTTTTTTGAGACAGAGTTTCATTCTTGTTGCCCAGACTGGAGTGCAATGGCACGATTTTGGCTCTCTGCAACCTCCGCCTTTCAGGTTCAAGCGATTCTCCTGCCTCAGCCTCCCAGGTAGCTGGTTTTACAGGCATGTGCCACCATTCCCGGCTAATTTTTGTATTTTTAGTAGAGACGGGGTTTCGCCATGTTGGTCAGGCTGCCTTGGCTTCCCAAAGCGCCAGGATTACAGATGTGAGCCACCACAGCCAGCCTAGATTTTTTCTTTTTAAAAACTTTTTATTTAGGAAACTTTAATACATAAATGAAAGTAGGGAGAATAACATACATAAACAAGGTGAATTTTAAGCATTTTTATTATGGGAAAATTTAAACTTATGCAGAAACAGAGACTAATGTAACAGCATGAGTTTTCAAAAGAGACTTCTTTATTTGACTTTTAAATTTTTGGTAGAGATGGGGTCTCACTACATTGCCCAGGCTGGTCTCAAACTCTTGGCCTCAAGCAATCCTCCAGCTTTGGCTTCCCAAAGTGCTGGGATTACGGGCATGAGCCCAGCCAGAAACTTCAGTATTTAGGAAAATTTCAACCAGAAGTAAGAAACAAATAGCATAAAGAACCTCTATTACCCATCACTCAACCTCAACAATCACCAGCTTGAACGAATCCTGTTTTGTTATTTACTTCCTCCTCCTCCCCTGTGAATTATTTTGAAGTAAATTCCAGCGATCTTATTTGATATAAAGTGGGTTTGAACAGAGGTGTGAATAAGGTGAAAATGTGAGAGAGGATGGTTCCAGAGAGGAAGAAGGAGCAGCAAGGGCCGAGGTCCTGAGGCAGGGTGATGGATGTTTGAACAGCAGCAAGGAGGGTGGTGTGGCTGGGGGAGGAAGCACAAAGGAAATTGGTGGGAGACAGAATCAAGGTATGAGGAAGAGAGTGCAGATCACGCAGGAGAAAGAAAGTGCTTCTGGGTGTTGGGGTGATTGGGAAGTTCAAATATGATGATGTGCTAAGAGTATTTCTTGGCTGGGTGTGGTGGTTCATACCTGTAATCCTATCACCTTGGGAGGCCAAGGTGGGAGGATTGCTTGAGCCCAGGACTTCGAGACTAACCTGGGCAACATAGGGAGACCTCATCTCTTCAAAAAATAAAAACATTAGCTGGGCGTGGTGGCAGGCACCTGTGGTCCCAGCCACTTGGGGGGCTGAAGCAGGAGAATTGCTCCTGGAGGCGGAGGCTGCAGTGAGCTGAGATTGCGCCACTGCACTGGAAGTTACCATGAGCAGTATGGCCATGGTCCATGCCCTCAAGCAGCTTCCAGCGTCACGAAAGACAGTTAAAAAATGAGCAAATAAATACAAGACATAGATTCTGTGGTAACTGTCATGTTGGAAATGATGAGGGTACTGTGATGGCCAATTAGAGCAGATGTGGGAAGTGAAGGGAGACAAGGGAGGGGACCATGTAGACGAGCTGGACTGATAAATGACATTTCTAGACATACAGCCTCAGACAAGCAGAAAGCAAGCAGCTCAGAAGAACTAGCACTAAGTGGGGGGCGTGAGCCACTGTGCCCAGCTGGATAAGGTCATTAACCTCGTTTAGCCTCAGTTTCCTTACCTGTATAGCAGGGGTTGTAATAAGACTAACTATAATCATGCAGCATTGTTATGAAAAGTACTAATGTGTACCTGGTGTGTGGCTTTACCTGGACAAGAAATTCATCTCTATTTTTTTTTTTTTTTGAGATGGAGTCCCACTCTGTCGCCCAGGTTGGAGTGCAGTGGTGCAATCTCAGCTCACTGCAACCTCCACCTCCTGGGTTCAAGCGATTCTCCTGGGACTCAAGGCACATGCCACTATGCCCAGCTAATTTTTGTATTTTTAGTAGACACAGGATTTCACCATGTTGGTCAGGCTGATCTCAAAACTCCTGGCTTCAGGTGATCTGCCTGCCTCGGCCTCCCAGAGTGCTGGGATTACAGCCACTGTGCCCAGCCTTAGTCTCTGCATCTGTGGTGTAACTTGTGACTAGCGGTCTAACCTGTGACCCACAGGCTGCTCTCTGACCTGTGGTCTTCCTCTGCTTAGGGAGAAGTGAATTCAAACGGTGCTGGAAGGGCCAAGGGGCCTGCCGGACTTACTGCACAAGGCAAGAAACTTACATGCACCTGTGCCCGGATGCTTCCCTGTGCTGTCTCTCCTATGCATTGAAGCCTCCACCAGTCCCCAAGCCTGAATATGAGTAGCTGCTTCTTGCTGTCCAATAAAACACAGGCTGCCAATTGTCTCTTCTTTCTGTTTGCTTGCCTGTGCTCCTCTCCCCCCAGGGGTGGGGGACAGGTCTAGGATGTGGGAGAAATGGTCCGTGGTGGGAGGTGAAGGACCTGAGGACAGTGGGCGCTAATGACCATTGTAAATGGTTCCGGTCCTGGCCACATCACTTTCTCTCTGTCCAACTCCGGAAAAATTACTCAACCTCTGAAAGTCTCCCCAACCATAAAATGGGGATAATTATACTATCAGGAGATGAGCACTCTATAGACGCAATGCAAAAGAAAGGTAGAGTTAATAATGACAAGAGTTAATAATGTGAGTTGATAGTAACAGTGAATAATAGCAGTCAATCATAAGCTCCTGGAATTCGGAATGAGATGGTGCATTTGGCTTGAGAGGCAGGCCCTACTGAGAGTGAAGGGTTCTCCTGCGTTCCTTGATATGGTATCCTAATGACTTAGGGCTGAAGCCAAGACCAACAGACTAGATCGTTTTCTGAAAATTAAGCCTCACACACGAACTGCCCTTTTCCTCCCAGTGTTCAGACAGACACTCACCTAAGCATACATCCAACTTCCTAAGTCATTAGGATACTCCCAACAAGCCGAAGAGACCAGCCAATTCTAGGGTGGAAGGTTCCCCAAAATACCTCACAGGTGAGGCCCACAAGCTGAGAGGAAAAGTGACTTGTCCAAGGCCAGAGAGTTCCCAAGTGACATGTCAAGGAGTAGAGCCACATACTGGTAGGACAGGACAGTGTGATGGGGCAGTTTTAGGAGGAAGAGAGCCCCCTGATACTGGAGATGTGTAGGGTGAGCCCGGTGGCTCTGGGATGCTAGAGAAGGAAGCTACCTGGATAGGTGCTCAGAAATGCTTTTTCGGAGAACGGGATCTACTCAAGGAAGCATTGAAAGGTTGAGATGATGATATATGAGTACCCCATAGAAAGTACCAATTGCTTGGCTGGGCACGGTGACTCACACCTGTAATCCCAGCACTTTGGGAGGCCGAGGTGGGTGGATCACGAGGTCAGGAGTTCAAGACCAGCCTGGCCAAGATGGTGAAACTCCGGCTGTACTAAAAATACAAAAAAAAAAAAAAAAATTAGCTGGGCGTGGCGGTGGGTGACTGTAATCTCAGCTACTCAGGAGGCTGAGGCAGAGAATTGCTTGAACCTGGGAGGAGGAGGTTGCAGTGAGCAGAGATAGCACCACTGCACTCCAGCCTGGGCAACTGAGGAGACTCTGTCTCCAAAAAAAAAAAAAGAAAGTACCAATTGCTTTATCTGTATCACCTCAATGAATTCCCAGAGTTGTATGTATACATATATACACACACATATATACATATATACACATACACACATATATACATACATATATATACACATACATACGTGTGTGTGTGTGTGTGTGTATATATATATTTGAGATGGAGTCTTGCTCTGTTGCCCAGATTGGAGTGCAATGGCACGATCTCGGCTCACTGCAACCCCCGCCTCCTGGGTTCAAGCGATTTTCCTGCCTCAAGTAGCTGGGATTATAGGCATGTACCGCCATGCCCAGCTAATTTTGGTATTTTTAGTAGAGACGGGGTTTCACCATGTTGGTCAGGCTGGTCTCAAACTCCTGACCTTGTAATCTGTCCAGCTTGGCCTCCCAAAGTGCTGGGATTACAGGCGTGAGCACCACGCCCAGCCAGTTGTTGCTTCTCCTCCTCCTCCTCCTTCTTCTTTGTCTCTCTGTCTCTCTCTCTCCCTCTCTCCTTTCTTTTTTAACACGGGGCCTCACACTGCTGGGCTCAAGTGATCCACCTCAGCCTCTGTGGAGCTAGGTGCCAGCATACCTGCCATATATATATATATATGTAAAAAAAAATATATATATATAGTAGAGATGGGGTCTTGTTAAAAAATAAAGATGGGGTCTTGCTATGTTTCCCAGGCTGGTCTTGAACTTCTTTACTCAAGTGATCCTCCTGCCTTGGCCTCCCAAGTTGCTGGGGTCACAGGTGTGAGCTGCTGCAGCTGGCCTATCTCTGCCTTTTCTGTAAGGTAACTAAGGCTCTATCAGGCAACTAAGAAAGTTGCCCACATCATACACCTAGGAGGTGGCGAACCTGGAACTCTACCCTGATCCTCTGCCTGATTTTGTCTCCCAGAGTCAGTCTTTTTTTGGAGACAGTCTTGCTCTGTTGCCCAGGCTGGAATGCAGTGGTGCAATCACAGCCTGCAGCTCTGAACTCCTGGACTCAAGCAGTCCTCCCACCTCAGCCTTCCCAGTAGCTGGGACTGCAGGCATGAACCACCATGCCTGGCTAATTTTTGTATTTTTTGTAGACACGAGGTCTTGCTATGTTGCCCAGGCTGGTCTTGAACTCCTGGCCCTAAGCAATCCTCCTGCTTCGTCCGGCCTCCCAAAGTGTTGGAATTACAGCCATGAGCCACTGTGCCAGGCTCCAGAGTCATTCTTATTTGTATCTTTAAAATAATATATATATATTTTTCTAATTTTAAAAGTTCATTGGAAAACACGTTAACAGAGAAGCACAAATAAGAAAGCTAAAATCATTAGTATTTTCATTGTACAGAAATACCCAGAATAGTCTGGGCATGGTGGCTCACTTCTGTAATCCCTCACTTTGGGAGGCTGAGGCAGGTGGATCACTTGAGGTCAGGAGTTCAAGACCAGCCTGGGCAACATAGTGAAAATCTGCCTCTACTAAAAATACAAAAATTAGCCGGCATGGTGGCACGTGCCTGTAATCCTAGCTATTAGGGAGGCTGAGGAAGGAGACTCACTTGAACTTGGGAGGCAGAGTTTGCAGTCAGCCAAGATGGCGCCACTGTACTCCATCTTGGACGACAGAGTGAGACTCCTTCTCAAACAAACAAACAAATAGAAACATTAAATATACATATACTCAATAAATAGCAATAATTTACCAATACACACACTATGAATTAATTTCAAAAACATTATATTGAGAGAAGAGAGACACAAAGAAATACATGCTGAGTAATTCCATTTACATGATGCTTTAGAAAGACAAAACAAAGTTGATTTAAAAAGTAAGAGAAAAAGAAAAAACTCCCCCAAAATCTTATTTTCTTTAAATTTCTCTTTTTTTCTGAGCACATGTGGTTGAGTCTGGGTAAATTATCTGTGCTTATGATGCAGCTCCGTTTGTCTCATAAAGAGTTTGATGTGTATACCTATGGAACAAACCTGGACGTTCTGAACATGTACCCCAGAACTTAAAGTATAACAATAATAATAATACAAATCATAATAAAATAAATTCCCATCTGGATTCCTTGGAAAAAAAAATTTTGGTGATCCAGTGAGACGCATTGTTTTTTCAGGACTCTCTTAACGGTTAGATCAATGACTCTCAAGGGGAGATTCTCCCCTCTAGCGGTTATTTTGGGAATTGGCTGGGGAGTTTTCGTTAATTTGAGATAGGGTATCTGTGGTGGTCTCGGTCACCGCAACCTCTGCCTCCCGGGTTCAAGCGACTCTCGTGCCTCAGCCTCCTGAGTAGCTGGGATTAAAGGCATGAGCCATCACGCCAGGCTAATTTTTTTCCTTTTTTTTTTTTTTTTTTTTTAGTAGAGACAAGGTTTCACCCTGTTGGTCATGCTGGTCCGAAACTCCTGATCCGCCCCCCTCAGGCTCCCAAAGTGCTGGGATTATAGGCGTGAGCCACCGCCCCCGGCCAAGACACAATTTTCAATGATATAACTCCAACATTTTGTACATGTTCATTAATTTTGCTCCTTTTCCTCCTAATCTGAAGCCGCAGTAGACTGGCTTAAGTCCAGTGAGCCCCTGGCCGAAACGAAGGTTTCCCTGATTTGGGATGCCTAATGATTTCCATCGTTGTCCCAACTGTATTAAGTTGACGATTTTCACCTATGCGTTGCTAGCATCAGCACTCTTTTTGTTTTTCATTAATTCTACTTACATTTATTGAATACCTTCTATGTGCCAGACATTATTCTAAGTATAGAGGACTCAGCAGTGCGCAAAACGGATAAATCCCTATCTGTACGGATCTCACGTTCTAGGAATAAACACAATTTTGACTTTGGTCTCAGTATCCAGCCTTAGCTTCACACTTTGGAAGGACGAATTGCCAAATACCTACTTCAGAGTCACTTGTGGCACCGTGAACTCGTGTGTGTTCAATGATTTCATAATTACATGGTAAACCAGCATGTCCGATAAGCATAACACCTTTGGAACATAGCATTTGGATTTCTTATTTATATATGAATATTCATTTTCAAATACAGTAAACACTTTAGATGTAACCTGGAAGGAAATTTCATGCACTTTAGCTTTTATTGAAAGTTTTATTATATGTTTGTGTCCCTAACAAAATATTTGTTTACATATACACAATTTTGAACAAGTTATGAAAAAATCTTGTTGGAATTTTATAGAATCTAGGGAATAATTAGTATAGAGTTGACATCTTTAAGATATTGAGACTTCTAATTCCTAAGCATGGTATGTTTCTCAATTAATTTAGGCTTTCTCTATTGTATTTCAGTAAGATTTTCTATCTTTTTCCATAAATTCTTGAACACGTTTTGTATGAAATATTTATAGGTACTGAGAAGTACTTTTTCTTTTGTTAGCAGTTTGGCTGTAATATGTTCAGGTTTGATTTTTCTTTCCTTTTCTTTCTTTTTTCTTTTTGCTACAGTTTCATTCTGTTGTCCAAGGTGGCGTGCAGTGGCAGGATCTTGCTTCACTGCAACCTCTGCCTCCCAGGTTCAAGCGATTCTCCTGCCTCAGCCTCCTGAGTACGTGGGCTTACAGATGCATACCACCATGCCCAGCTAATTTTTGTATTATTAGTTGAGATGGGGTTTCACTACATTGGCCAGGCTGGTCTTGAACTCCTGACCTCAGATGATTTGCCCACCTCGGGTTCTCTAAGTGCTGGGATTACAGGCATGAGCCACTGTGCCCTGCAGGTTTGATTTTCTTTGTGTCTATGCTGCTTTG